TTCCACATCCACGGAACGCCCGCAAGGCCACATCTCCCCAAGCCCCCAGGAGCCCGGCCGCAAGGTGGATGCCGGCTGTGGGGTCCCTTACCCTGCCGGCTTTCATAGCTCCACTCCGTCTGTGTGCTCTTGTCCTGCAAGCCCAGGAACTCTCCATCGTGCTTCACCAAGGATGTAGATGGCATCGTGTCACTGAGGAGAAGCTGGCTGCTGGCAGGTTCAGGGGGTGGGAGGAGGGACAGCAAAGAAGGTGGTCACCCGAGGGACGCCAGCAGCAGAGGGGAGCAAGGGTCGGCCCACCTCCAGACAGGGGCCGGGTTAGGAACCCAGAGCTGTGGCCTGTGGGGAGGTTGTGGTGGCGGCGGCTGCTTCCCGGTCCCCGCGGACTTCGGCCTGTCCCTGGTGGTGGCTGTCACTGGTTGGAAGGGACCACCTTGTGGACCGTGGAAAATAGGCCTGTGTGCCATTCTGGGTGCCAAGTGCAGCTTCACTTAGAGTGACAGGCTCTGGGGGTGCCTTCAAAGGCCAGTCAATGGGCCAGGCCTCCGTGCCAGACAGTCTAACCTTCCAGAACATTCTGTGTCCCTGCTGGCTCACCACCCTGCTCATTCCAGTCGTCCTTCTTGCCTCAGAGCGGCCTCAGGCAGAGCGGAAAAAATCAGCAGCCGCTTCAAACCAAGCACTGACGTCTGTCCCCGCTAGTCTGCCCACTGCACACACCACCATCTTCGAGAAAGGGCGCTGGGTGTGAGGCTCAGGCCCTGCTACTCGGGAGCTCAGGATCAAAAGGGGTGACCCAGCACCCCGACCTACATCGTGTCCTTCCTCAGGAATCTCTGCCTTTTAACTGGGGCAAGAACCTGTGATTCAGACGGATGAGAGGGGCTCTTGGCCCTGAAGCCATCTCGTGGAAACTGGCCCAATTGGCAGAGACAGGCCTGAGGGGAGACGCCCGGCCTGTCAGTGGGCAGAGACTGTGGCGGCAGAAAGCACCTAGACTTTGGTGTCAGGCGGTCCGAGCTGAAGTGTTGGCTCTTGCGCTAGAGTGGGGTAACCTTGGGTGAGCCACCTAACTTCCCTGTGCCTCGGTTTCCGCACCTGTTCGGTAATTGTACCCCCTCCCCCAGGTCCGCACAGGTGAGGACAAAACGAGAGTGGGCAGTGTTGGCTGTCGTTGTTCGTAGAGGGGAAATGAGAAGTTCAGTGGCCCTTCATGAGACGGGCCTGTTCCCTGTCGGGGTCAGTGTTTCCTGATGCAGGGATCGGGGGTGGGGGGCAGAGGGGCCGCAGTCTGAGGCTGGGGGCAGAGTTGAGGAAGGGAAGAGGAGGTAACTTGCTCTAGCCAGAAAGCTGTTCTCCCTTCAGCGTTGCTGGGAGTGCCAGGCAGATCTGTGCCACTTCGAGGGGACCCGGGGGAGGGTCCGTGCCAGCCTGCGGGCTGGGGCAGAGCAGCTGTATTCTCAGGATGTACCACTAGCAAGGGGCCCCGGGGGCAAGTGGCGAGATGCTCTGGTCTTAGGTCAAGTGACCACAGGGCTCAAGAACTAGTGGAGAAGGGGGAGCTTTTTAGGCAAGTGTAAATCCTTGCCCTGCTCCAGGCCTCAAGGCCACATCAGGAGACCCCCCCCGGGGCTCAGTTTCCTTATCCTTCTGGTGGGATAATGCCTGTCCTACCTCACTCAGCAGGTGCCCACGGGGACCCAAGGAGATAATGCAGGTCCCCATGGATGGACTTTGACAAATCAAAGCTGTTGACAAACACAGGGATTATACTTAAGGTCATGCAGGGCCGCTCTGGTCATTTCCATGCTCATGTACACTTGCCCAGCACCCTCCTTGCCACGCCTGCCCCAGGCTGGGATGTTGCAGGGCTTCTGGGGTGCCTGCCAGAGCTCTGCTGTGGCCTCAGCACCCGGAAAGCAGGACTGGGGCTCCGGCCTGCGTGGCCAAACACCACCTCCCTGCCCCGTCGGCAACGCGGAGGTGTTGCAAGCCCGAGCCCCTGTCCCGAGATCCCAGGCCTGCTCCTGCAGCCGCTTCGGAGCGGGGAAGGGGCCTGGCATGTGCCTGGGGACCTTGGGGACGCATGTGGAAGAGGGCGCCTTCCCATTTACAAGGGACCCATGAAACACCTGACCTGAGTCTGCTCCCTTCCCATCCCCCCTGCCTTAGCAAAGAAACACGAGTGGGACCCTTCTTGCCCAAAGGGGTTTGTGGAGGGTTTGGTCTCTCAGCAGCCTTGTGTGAGGAAAATCCAGGGCCCCTCTGAGCACGCCCAGGCCCAGACCTGGACTCGGGGGAGGCAAGCCGAATTGCTCAGGGACAGACCCAGGTCAGGCCCCAGGCTCCCCGCAGGGCCCCGGGAAAGAACAGGAAACAAACTCAGCTGCGATACGAATAAAAGATTGGACGGGTGCTTGTGTTTGGAGTAAAGCTGACCAGGAATCAGGCTCCTTGTCCTGCACGTGCTAAGTTTTCCTCGTGGTGGCTCGTGGGAGCAGAACGAAGGATACCAGCGATCCACAGCCCTTACCGCACGTGCCCCGTGTGCTAACCTCTGCTCCACGTGCGCCCTGTCAGTACATTTAATCCTCACCACAGCCCGGGAGTCGGAAACTCTTCCTGTCCCCATTTTACAGGTGGGAAAACTGAGGCAGAAGAGTAAGTGGCTGCCCTGTGGCACACAGCTGACTGGGTGGAGCAGCTGCGATTCACACCCAGGCAGGTGCGGATCCCTGGCTCCAGGGTCCCTGTTCTCCATCACAGCCTTCCGGAGGGTCACTTCACCATCAGGCCCCTTCAGTGCCACGTCGCTTGCTCCTCTGTGAGTATCAGTAGCTGAGGTGCCGGGGCCTCGGGAAAGCACTCCCTCTCAGGAATTGCCTTAGTAGGGCTGGACCTGGCAGATACATGGTGAAGCGTGAAGCGTGGAGCGGAGGGGCCGGTAGAGGGCGGGAGTGGGGAGCTGGCCTCACCAGGTGGAGGGGAGCCCCGTGCAGAGTACCGTGCCCTCAAATTGTAGCCTGTGTCTTTCCTGCGCAGAAGAGCTGGGGTTTCGTTCCTGCTTCTCAGCGTAACCCAGCTGGCCTTGGGCTTCCTTTGTAGCTAGCGTCAACCCACTTCACCGGTGGAGGTCAATGACTGCCTTCCCCCAGTCATCCTTTGGGGCAGATGTAGGGGACGAGGACTGTGAATCAGAGGCCTTGTGCCCCCTGCCCCACATGGGTTTCCACAGAGCTGAGCACACAGAGGCTTCTGTCCACAGCGGTGTCAGTGACCGTCTAGCGTGGGCCGAGCCCTGTGGCGGGAGTTTCATGAACACGCACTGCGCGATTACTTAGAGCTTGGAATATGCCTGAGCAAGGAAGACGGCAACTGCCTTGTGGGTGTTCACTCATCTCTTCACTGCGAGCGCTGCCAGGGCCCTTGGCCATTTCTCCCCAGCTCAGCCTTCTCTCCAGACTCAGCTGTCCCCTGCCCTTTCCTCTCCGTAGTTCTGGGCGCCCAGGACCCTGATCCTGGGACTCGTCCCTCAGCTTGTGAGTGGCTGAACAGCAGAGGGGAGCTGTATCGGGAGGTCCTTTGTGTGTGACTTCTAGGAGACCCCCGCCTGAACTGTGCCTTCCTCGGGGGTCCTGCTCCCTGCGGCCCACCCCACTCTCACCCCCACTTCCCACCTTTGGGACTGCAAAGGCTCCTGAAGCATCATCCCTAAGCATGAACTTCCACCTGACTTATCAGAAAAAAAAAATCAAAAACTTTTACCTTGCTTTAAGACTAGGCGGGGTTTGCGATGAACGAGCCTTGAATTCTGTTGGAAAAAAGAACAGAAAGACAATGTTGGAAAAAAAAAAAGAATCTTTCTATTAAAAAATCTGTTGTTAGGTATGTGATGCTGGGATTGGGGTGGAGAGGCCCTGATTTACAGAATTTTTCTGTTTTTGCTTTTCGTTAGCATTGTCTCTCTTAATGGTTTCCTTTAGAAATTATGAGGTTGAAATTTGATAAAATTAGAACTCAAGAAGCTAATTTTCATGAAATCATGGATTTGGGACATTTAGGTTTGCTTTGTTAATCTTTTGAGTTATTACAGAGGCCTCCCTCTGTCACAGGATGAAGGACATCTATCTATACAGGAGAGGTGGCTGAGGTTCAGAGGATATAAATGTTTTAAAAATTATTTTTCCTGTGTTTGTTGGCAATCTGTATGTCTTCTTTGGAGAAATGTCTATTTAGGTCTTCTGCCCATTTTTGGATTGGGTTGTTTGTTTTTTTGATACTGAGCTGCATGAGTTGCTTGTGAAGACTCTATTTGTGTCATTTAATCACCTGACCGTTGGCTTTGAATGATAGGACATCAAGAATTTCAGGTACAGTTGGCATAAAATAGATTCTAGAGAATGGCACAGTGGAAGTAGTGAAGAGATGGCGGTCAGAAAATGTGAACTTGAAACTTGAATGTTCAACACTTATCCATAGTTTACCCATGAGACAGACTATTATCGAGGAATATTACTTGGCTATTAAAATGACGTCTACAAAAATTAAGCAATACGGGCAAATATGGAAGTGACAATACTGAGTTACAAAAGTAAAATACAGACTTATTTTATAGACAGCATATTTAAAGTGGTAAAAACAGGACAAAACAAGGACCACAACCACCAAACATGCAAAAAACGAGGGCAGGAGGAACAGAGTAAAAATGATAAAATGTGAATCAGCTTTACTTATATTTGGATGTTGGTAGGTTGGGTGTTATTTTTCTACTTTTCAAATTTTCCACTAAAAAAATGAACAAAAGTAGATTTTGCTTCTTTTTATGTTACTCTTCTCAAATTAAAATATGCATGTAATTTATTAAAAAGCAGAAACAAAGGGTGAAAGGAGGGAAGAAAGGAGAAAAGAAAGAGAAGTGACTAGAAGAGAAAGAAGAGAAGGCTTGGGAGCCTGTCTTGGCCTCTCTAATTATTTTCCATGACCTTGGAGAAGTCACATACCCTCTCTCAAACTCCAGGATCCGCATCTGTGAAGGGGGCAGGGGGTAAAGAGTGGCTGGAAAATTGAAAGAAACAGATTGCGAAATATACACTGTACACCCTATGCCACTGGACTGTGCTCCCCACCTTCAGGGCAAGACACACACAGAAAGTGATACTGTTTGTACAGGAGCAGAGTGGAGGCTGGGGCGACTGGTCTTGGGGCTCAGCATCTCCCCCCAGTAGTGGCCGACTCATGGCACCCTGATGGGGAAGCTCTGCCACTATCTGTGAACTTTCCTGCTGGACAGGTTGTCAGGCTCTCCCATCTCTGCCTTATCGGTGTATCCCAAACCTTTCTTATTAAATACACAGAATTGCTAGGTTCCCCCTTTGGAAATGGTCCTCGGGGCACCACCTCTCAACTGGAAATGGCGACCAGATTATAGCATTTTGGCCAAATAGCATTCAGAGCCGCCGAAGAGGAGCTAGCAAGGGGAAAGAAAGTCAAATCCAGCCGAGTATATGCATCAAAATACCATTAGGTAAGAACATTACGAATCAGAACGAATATACTGTGACATCTCTACGGCCTTATTTGCCACAGAGCAGAATTCAGCTTTAGGAAGGTCTTGGGTTCTAAATAAACAAAAGGGGCCTTATTGTGGGGTGGTTTCCTGTTCTGTGACAGCATGACAGAAATGTAGATCGTACTTCTTCCTTCCTGCACCTTGTGAGATCAGAAAAACGTTTTTACACCTGACAGTTGTATGGGGTGGGAGAGCTTTCAAAGCATTTCCAGAATGTTCTTTCATTTAATTGGCACAATCACAAGGAATTTTTTTGCGTGGGGAAAGGGAGACTTGGAGCAGGTAGTTGACATGCCCAAGGTCAAAGGCCCACCCTTGTGCTGGGTCTTCTGACTCTGACACCACAGGGTTTACACCCATGTTTCACAGAGATGATCTGGAACCGCCCAGTTCCAATCCGGGGAGATCAGTCCCATGTGGTATTGATTATTCAGTGACAGTCGATGCCACATTTACATTCAAGCTGCTCATCTAATTTTATTGGGTTTTCTCACAAATCATGGGGAAGATCATCCCTTCTTTTAAAGAAGAGACGGGGTGAGGGGTGTTAATCTGACGTGCCCTGATTGGTCCAGGGCAATGGGAGACTCTGACCTTGCTGCAGAGTAGCTGGGTGGGGACCCTAGATTCCTCCCACACCCTAGTTCATTGCATCTTCTCTTGTGTTTTTGTTCTGTCCATTTCACAAAAGAGGAAAATGTGGCCAGGGGATGTAATTTACCCTTCACAAGTCAATAGTAAGGAAATAATAAAATATAATAATAATAATAACAACAATAATAGCTAACACATAGTCTTAAAATGCTATATGCCTGGCATAGCTCAAAATGCTTTACATAATTAAACCCCTTTCATCCTCACAAACATCCTATAAGGTAGACCTACTGTTATTCCTAATTTACAGCTAAGAAAACTAAGACACAGAGAGGTTAAGTGACTTGCCCAAGCTCATGCAACTAATAAGTGGGAGAGAGCTGGTGTTCAAACCTATGCAGTCAAGGTCTTGAGAGAGGAAGAAAAAAAAGTGTTCTTTGTGACAGGTTCATGTCTGCCACCAAATAGACAAGGAAATAGCGTGCATGCTCCTTTCTCCTCTCCTGATCCCGTGGCAGACATCACTGGCGGATCGTGGCACACTTTCCTGCTGAGCCCAAACGAGGACTCAAAGTCCTTCTCATTGCAGTGCTTCACCACTAACCTCTAATAATTAATCCGTCAGCATGCGAGATGGAAGCCCATTTGTCATTTCTTGGGCTCATTTTATAGGCGCCGATTAATTCATAATTCATAATCATTAATTCATAATTCATAATTCATAATCAATTCATAATGCATAATTCATACTCTGTAATGGCCTATATGGGGAAAGAATCTAAAAAAGAGTGGACATATGTGTATGTATGACTGATTCACTTTGTGGTACACCTGAAACTAACACAACGTTGTAAATCAACTTTACTCCAATAAAAATTTAAAAAAACAACAACAAAAAACAAAAACCAAGAAAAAAGGTGTGTGTGTGTGCATGTGTGTGTCTATATATATGCCTGGCTTTGTGAAATGAATGAAACTGAATTTGATTCAGTTTGCATTTACTGAGGATCTGAGTCAGGAAAGCACTCTTGTTAGGCTCTGAGGTTCAAAACAAGAGATAAACAAAGTTCCATCATAAAGGTATTGGGGAGAAATTATACATAAAGAAATCGTGATGTAAATTCTTTTGAAGATTTAAGGTCCTCTTGTAAACCCCTTCTTAACTTAATCTGTTTTGTACAGTCTGGCTTGGCACCCTGGGTTTTCGTAGACTAAGACACGCTTCCATGTGCCTTCAAAGGCGTTTTCGTATTCCCCTACAGGTTTTTCAGTGCCTCTCCAATTTTTGCTAGCAGGGCATTTATTTTCAAAGCTTGTGCTTTATACACAGTTCCATTCACTTGACAGCACTGTATTTGTCCTATTCTAGTGGGTAATATATTTACAAAGGTCCGACACATAGCAGGCACATGTTAAGAATGCTTGATTCATACTGTGCAGAAGAAATGGCTTGAATGCTAGTTTTCAGTGTTAGAATCACACTTGGTACTTGAACAGCAGGGTTATTAGGGTTCTGAGAGGGAGCTCAGTGGTAGAGGCGCACAGAAAAGAGAATTTCCCGGCAACAGAGGAATGAGCTCTCCAACGTACTAACTTCTGGGAGGGCAGTAGGAATGTAGGATGATACACCTGATTTGAGGCAGAGGAGGTAAAGGTAAAGCACCTGTGTGGCTGCCGAAGCCACCCAGCTTTCAGGACGTAGGCGGTGTGCAGTCAGACTGGGATTTAAAAATCCAAGCTCCCTGAGATGCTTGCGGTTGGTAACAGGACGGGATCCAGAAAAAATAGGTTAGTTCTCTTTCTAGGTCAACATTAAGATGATGCAGATGACCTGGATTTTTAACTTTCCGTTCCCGGTTGGATATGTCCATTCAGTCATAACATCGAGGGAAGACACTGTGTGGGCCTGGGAATAAATGCATATCAGCCACTTGGAGTCACAGCACAAGGAGCCCACTGCCAAATAATAAAACCCAGCTTAAGGAAAAGTTGCCAACTGCAGAAACAGTATTGGAAAAATGTCAGCTCTAGGATGAGAGAAATCACTGCAAAGTTAAATACCCTCCAGCAGGGTAAGACGATGCCTTCCAGGGGCTGAACGGGCACCCTGGGAAGCATACTAGTCTCTGCTGACTTAGTAACAGATTGTGGAAATGTATGCTAGGAAATAATTAGAGCTCATGAATAAAATTTAGCTCTAAGGGTGTTTATCAAAGTGCTGTTTTAAAGAGTAACCAAAAAATCAGAAGCAATAAATGATCAGTAATAGGAAATCAATTAAAATGTTACGGTTTGAAAATATAATACAATGGGATGCAGCCATTAAAATGACTTGTAGAAAATTGAAAGCATGAAATGATATTCCTATAAGTATGTAATATCTATATGTAATTATAATACAGAAATATAGAAATAAGTATACCTTAAAGGGCAGGTTGCAAGCACTATATAGTGTCTGGGGAGGACATAACCAAAGTGTAAAAGCGATTATCATCTCTGAATGGGAGTGATTTTTGCTTTCTTCTTTTTATGAATATACAGTTTCTCAAACATCTACCATGCACATGTATTACTTGTGCAACAAGGAAAAAGAAAAGATACAAGTTAGGGGGTGTTTTCTGTTTGTCTTATTTTGTTTTTTACGAACAGGCGCTTCCCGTTCATCAGGTCTCCTTGTCTGCTCCGTAGGCTCAGTGCTTGGGGGCGCAGCTCTTGAAGTTGTGAGTAGAACTTGGTCAGAAATGATTCATGAGTCTGCCAGTGCGGTGCGTAGGGTCGATCATTTACGCTTTGGCTGTATCTCAAGCCTGTTCTTTTTTCCTGGACATCGTGATGCACTAGAACTACCATGTATGGGACGTTCGCCCCAGATACTCACCCTCTTCCAGAAACTTTTCATACAGAAACATTTTTCCTTCCAGCAGCTCTTTCTTCTGTAGATACTTTTCCTCCTTCAGATACTCCTTTTCATCCAGATACTCCTTTCCTTTCAGATAATTTTCCTCCTCCTCCGGGTACTGGTATTCCTCCGGGCTCTCTAACTCTTGAAGAAATAAAAATTCTTCCACTGAACTCTCCTCATCTCCTTCAGTATCTTCTTCCTGTGAAGACAAGGTCTGCGTGGAGCGGTGGAAACTTGTGGAAGGGTGAGGAGGTGATGCTCCCGATGGCTGGAGATTTCTAGCAGACATGCTGGGAGGCATTTAGCAGAGGAAAGCCTTCTGCAGCAGGCGGAGTCACTGCTTCGTCATCCTGGTAACCGAGAAAGGAATAAGACCCCATTAGTCAGGAATTACCTACTGCATGCCGTTCACTCATTGCATTCCGTGGTCTTGGGATGGCCCTTTGAGTACGCATATCAGTACATGGTGGCCTGTGAAAAGGCACAACAAGAGAAGGCAGAGGTTTTACACCTCCAGGAGCTGGTTGGAGAGACCACATCTGAAGGCAGCGCCTTTGAAATGACTGCACAATATGAAGTCAGTGAGGAGAGCTGGAAAGTGAAGGAGCCATCGGTGTTTAGTGGTGCAGTCATTAGAGAAGACTTTGACTTACTCATCAAGAAATATTTATTGCTACAGTGATCAGGACATAGACTGTCTTCCAGGAGCTTCAAACTGGGGAGAGAAACAGACATTCAAACAGATTTCTGTACACAGAGTGGCAAGCACAATGGAAGAGGTCCAGGCAGGGTGGTACAGACACAGCTTGTGGGGCCTTGGTCAGTGAAGGTCCCTGTGGTTGGACGTCTGCCAGGCACGTGCTCCTGGCCACGCCCCCTGCTGGAAGCACCACCCACCCACTCGGCAAAGTGTTAGTTCACTCAGCAAACACCTATTTTTACTCCCCAGATTTAGCACAGCTGTGAGCACCTACATCCCCCCCCCGGGGCGTCTTCCATGTTCCACCCTATGCTCCATCTGTACCTTCTATATTTTCATTAAAGTAACGATTTTGCTATATTACATAGTTTGTTTGCACATCTGTCTTTCCAACAGAGTGTGAACTTCTCGATGGCGGGAAGGATTGATTCTCGTTTGCAAATCTATTTCAGATCCTTCCTCTCTTCTCTGCTCTACTGTGACTACCCGCAGTGAACTGTACCATCTCTAGTCTGGATTATTGCCACATGCTCTTAACTGGCCTTCCCGTCACCACTGCTGCTGTCCTGTAGTCGTTCTCCACGAGGAGTGTTCTTGGGAAAATATAAATCACATCAGGATATGCATTGCTTAACAATCCCCCGATGGCTTTCTCTGGCACGGAGAATAAAATGTGAACCCCACTCCAGGGCTCCCAGGGCCCCGGAGATGTGGCACCTGCCAGTCTCTCTGACTTCCTGTCTTATTGTTCCTTCTCTGTTCTCCTACTCTGTTATTCTCTCCTAGAACACTTACCCTGTTTCTATTTATGGTTCTGTTTCCGTGTTTCCTTGTTCAATATTTCTTTTCCACTGTATCTACGTGTCTCAGTGACAGTGACCTTATGTGGCCTGTTCCCCGCTCTCTCTCCCATGGTTGGCTCAGTGCCTGATGCATCATAAAGACACCCAGAGTAAACGATCAGTGACTGAATGAAGGACCAAGAATAGATGGCTCTAGAGCAGGGCATCCCAAAGCTTTAAAAATGATAATAGTTATTCTGCACAATGGGATAAACTGCAGGTAACTGGCCCAGAATCGTCCTGTTTGCTCTGAGGGCTTAAGAGGTAAATCTCTTGGCCTTCCTTTTCCCAGATCTCTGATTGGGAAGCTCTGTTCTAGGGAACCAGCCAGATGACGTCATGAGGATCACTCTCTAGCATATGTGCACCCTGATGCCTGAGATGACGGGTGTGAGGTCAAAGACATTCATAGTGAGACAGCCTGGGACCTGGGACCCTTTACTGCAGTGCTTACACCTGGACAAACGTCTCCTCAAGCAACAGAATATGAAGAAACTATAAGGGACTAAAAATAATTGCACGCATGTGCAGTTGGGGCAAATTATGAACAGCAAAGCTACGAAAAGGCCAAAACCCAGCTGCCACTGCTGAGGAGCCGGGAATAAAAGGAGGGAACCGCACAGGATCCCTACAGGCAGCACCCAGGGGGCGGGCAGACGAGGTAAGCCACTCCTCCCACCCGACCTCACTCCGTTCAAGGGACCAGCTCACGCCTGCCTCGGGGAGCGAGCAGGGGCCCCTCTTACTTGTTTCGGCTCCTGACGCTGCAGCACGAGTCCCAGTAAAGTCTTGTCTGCATTTCTCGTCTGGCCTCGTATCAATTTCTAGTGATGAAAGAGTCCAAGAACACGGGTCGGTATCAATAATGGGCCGTATTTGTGCACCTGCAGGGTTGCTAGGGCCCTTGGATTCCAGGATTCCCGTAGGATTAGCCTGGGTCGCTGTGGTGAACATAGAGGTGCGCTGCCCAGAGCTCTTTTCCGGGAACGGCTTGCTGCACAGCAGCGGGGCGTGGTCAGCACCCAGTACCGGGCCCCAGCGCCCTCAGGGTCTGCCTCATCTGCCGGGGAGCCGCCTTCTGAAAGCCACGCCCTTCTTGGGGCACCCACATGTGGTGACAAAGCAAGATGGGGGTGTAAAAATCCAGGCGGGACACCTCTGAGAGGTCGTAGTCACCCACGAGCCTCCTCCAGGCGGGCCGCGCTCACCAAGCCTGCTCCGCTGCACCGTCTCCCTCGGCCTGTCCTGTATCCTTGCCCTTCCTTTCTCAGGGGTTTGTCCCTAATACACATTTTACGTCTCAGCAGGTTGCCTCTCAACAGTTTGCATCTTAGAGTCTATTTGCAGAGAACCCAGCTCCTGACAGGCAGCTTCACAAAATGTAAATCTGGAAAAGAATTGAGGGCTTCCCTGGTGTCGCAGTGGTTAAGAACCCGCCTGTCAATGCAGAGGACACGGGATCGAGCCCTGGTCCGGGAAGATCCCACATGCCGCGGAGCAACTAAGCCCGTGCGCCACAACTACTGAGCCTGCGTTCTAGAGCCTGCAAGCCACAGCTACTGAGCCCGTGCTCCGCAACTACGGAAGCCTGCGTGCTTAGAGCCTGTGCTCCACAACAAGAGAAGCCACCGCGGTGAGAAGCCCACGCACCGCAACGAAGAGTAGCCCCCGCCCGACACAACTAGAGAAAAGCCCACATGCAGCAACGAAGACCCAACGCAGCCAAAAATAAATTAAAAAAAAAAAAAAAGATTGCGAGATCCGGGGAAGAGAAGGGGAGGGGCCTGGTGGGTAGCTTGATGGTTTAGAGGGTGGGAGGGTGGGGAGTAGCTAGACCTGCCGGGGCAGGGAAAACTGACCTGGCAGAGGGATGACAAGGCAGTAAAAGTAAAGACAGAGCTAGGGGCCCGCTATTGAGCATGTTGTGTTGGGTGGTGACCAGGAAGGCGGTACGATTAAAGTAACTCCGGAGCAGGCGGATTCTTGTGGCTGCTCACCAACAGTTAGGAAATAGAGTCTGGGAGCTCGGCCTGCAGTGGACTTGCTCTTTCTCCATCACTTGACAGCTCTGTGGTTTCCACAAGTCCTTTCATATAGGCTACCTCGAGTGCTTTTTGGAGGAGGTGAAGCGTAGGTCATACATGAGATGAACGTGGAGGACGTTGCCTTTGCGGCAAAGGGTGAGCCGCGGGAAAGCTCTGGGGCTTATATATCTGTCTTCGGGGGCCTCATCTGTTTTAAAGGAACCTCTCCAACCTTATTTTGATTTAAAACCTAAACACACTACCTACGACAGCTGTCCGTGTGGAGCCCCCGCTTGCTCCTGATGCTTAAGCCAGAGGAAGAGGTCGGGGATGGGGAGAGCCCGGGGACAGGGGTGTGTGTCCAGCCGTGCCCTGGGAGCGGTGAAGGCGCACACCCAGCCACCAGCCACTCCGTCAGAGGTCTGCTTGCACATCAGAGACGCCCTGCCTTTCATAGTTTTTAGCTGCTCAAGATAAAAGATCAAAACCAGCTGGTCCCCTGGGCAGCCCAGAATGCGTTTATCAATGGCATGCTGTCACTCAGGGGTGAGTCTTTCTGTTTGTTTTCTCATCGGGCCTTGTAAACAGGCTCCAGGCGGCTGCATTCTCCTTCCAAAGGTCAGAAAAGAAACTGCATTCTAGACACTGTCCCTTTAATTCTCCTAGAAATGTATAAGAAAAGTTTGTCAGGCAGAAATAAACGGTAATGGCAACCTGATACCCAGTGTCTGAGGCAAATGTGTAGGTTTTGACTTGTGATTCAGATCTTGACTCGTTTTGACCCTGGTGTCTGAGAGATTGCAGGTTAATTTCTGTGGTCACACAGGAAACACCAGCTTTATAAGAGCTGATTATCATCGGCCGATTATAGCTCACTCACCCCTAGACTAGCTTCACAAAATGGCTGCCTCAGTCAAAGCAGGCTGCCAGGTGTATTTTATTCAAGGGAAATAATTAAAAAGAAAAATTAGAGTGGGGACTTCCCTGGCGGCCCAGTGGTTAAGACTCCACGCTTCCCCTGCAGGGGGCGCGGGTTCGATCCCACATGCTGTGCGGTGCAGCCAAAAATAAATAAATAATAATTTAAAAAATCTTCTATTAAAAAAATGAAAAATTCGAGTGAATATTTAGAATTGGCAGAATTCACACAAAAAATCAAGAGTTCTGGCTTCTCTTGGAAATGGGGGTCTCGGGGACCCTGAGCTGGCTTCCCCACGTGGGAACAGGGATGCTGAGTGCAGGCTGCCCTCTCTGCATGGGACCGCTCTCTCTCCATTTCTGCTTCTCTCCGCACCACTACCTGGAACCTGCTTGATTCCCAGGCAGGCTTATTATCACAGTGTCCTGTTGTTTTCTTGTAGGAGAGCCACAGTTCTCTGCTGTCTCTATCAGAAGATAGAGCCAGGTCTCTATCCAAAGCAGGGAAACAAAAGCTACCCTGAGAGATCTGCTCTTGCCACTTGGCCTCCTCGTGCTGTGGCTTGATCTTTCTGGCCCCTGTGGAGGGTGGGACCTTCGATGGAGGCTGTTTGGTGGCGGCTGGTACCGCGTTGGCACAGTTCACCACTGCACACCCGCAGCCAGCGTGGCCTTTGGCACGTGATAGGCGCTCAGTAATACCTGCTGAATGAATACGTGGATGAGCGAAGAAAAGCTTTAAGAATGTGCTAAGTGCTTTGCCAAGTATACTTGCTGAGGATGTGCTTAGTTAGTGAAGAGGGGC